GCGCAGACACATGCACATGCACACACGCCAACACTGTCTACATTGGCATTCAGGCATCGGCAGTGGTTCTCCGGCTCATCACGCAAGTCGACCTCCCTCGGCCAAACAGACGTTGCTGCATGCATTAGCAAAATCTGGCACAACCCTTTACCCTTACGGGGTCGTCTAGAAAGTCGGACGCCTCCCACCGAGATAGGGACGCTCCCATATTGCCTTTATAAATATTCCCTGCATCCACCAAGTCGGAAACCAGACATAATACTGGCCACCACAGCAGCACTGCCTGAGCGGCGCCAAGCTGTCTAACGAGCAACAATACAACGGGCATCCCATACGGACTGCTTACTTGCTGGAAAAAACGACGGATAAGCACAAAGAATGAGCATACCTGGAGAAACGTATTGATTGCCGGCCTGCCACCCGTGCAGCATCTCATGCCAACACCTTATGCACTGCACACTCCAAAAACCAACCCATGCTACACGAGAATTCCGCAGCTGCGTGCAGTTCTATGGCCGCGAAAACTAATATTCCCCTACACATTGTGGTGCCCAAGTTGCCATATGCTGACGTCAAATGCTTCAGACGGAGACCCATACACCAAAGGCCAGAGCAACATTGCTAGGCGAGACATGAGGAAACACGAAGTCATGGACTTGCCACGAAACCGAAATCAAAATATCCTATCTGCAGAAAGCAGGAACGGACAGCCATGCCTCAACACATGCCCTTGGAAAAGATATCTGCGAAGTGCTTCATGAGCAGTCCACATGCTTGACGGCATATGTAAAGGCCATTGAGGGCCTGCTGCGGCATTTCCAACCCCACGTGGATCCAATTCCACGCAGCATAGCGCCCTTGGCTGCATCCAACACCATTTTAGCAAACGGCACCGCTGCATATTAACGGCCTGGTCACATGACGCAAATCTGCGTATGCTTGCTTTCACGCCTGTGTATGCTGATCGCACAACAGAATGGAGCTAATGCCGCTCTTGTTGCCTCCGCGTCGGTTCGGGCGACCGAACTAACGAACACGAGCACACACACACACACACACACACACACACACACACA